AAGAGCATGATTTTACAAGCACTCGCATTTTGTAGTTTTTTGATCTTGTGAAACCCCACATGACTCGAGTGAATTTTGTGCATACTTAACAAAATCCTGTTGACAATTTGATTATGTCGTATATGGCATACCTTTGTTTAGATTTTTACATATGTAGCATTTGCAATGCGTTGATTCGCACATATTTATTTATTGAGTAGATTAAGTAAATATCAGGAAATGGCTATCCCATTCAACGGCATTGAACGGCGTATGACAGACCAATTGAATAGATGTGTTATAACGAATGAGACTGGTCATAGCAGCGGTGATTCAAATAAGTATGCAAACATCAACAACAAGCGCAAAGTTTCCCACGAAGTTCAAGCCCAAAACGTCCGCCAGAACCTTCAACCCTCTCATCAGCACAAAGACTCCAAAACTGCAGATGAGAAGGAACGCAAAGATCTTCTAAAACCCGGAGAAATGGTGAAGAATCGGTGGCGAATAGTGAGTAAAATTGGTGGCGGTGGGTTCGGAGAAATTTATCAGGCAGTTGATACCCAGGTTTGTAATCTGTTTTGTAAGTGCTAGGCATGGGACAATCTTCGCACTTCCTTAAAACTGCAATGGTTCGCTTTAGGTGGATTCAGAAAAGGTAGGACGCAATGGTCCTGACATGCAAGATCTTTGTACTTTTTGCTCCATCAGAAGTGGTAGTCAGCCGCAGCGCCACATCAGCGTAGCTGCCATGACCACGAGCACACCCAGCTTACGTCTTCAACGTTGTTCAGGCTGTGGAAGAGAATGTTATCCGAGTTCCGCCACATCCATGGGAAAGTCTGGACTCGTGCGAAAATTTAGCGAGGATGGACTCGACTCCGCAGACTCGGGTATCTCCTCAAGTCATTTAGAGCGCACGTCGACGTTAGATAACTACATTGTCGCGGTGAAGGCGGAATCCAATACTCAGTCCAAACAAATGCTTTCCATGGAGGTAGCAGTCTTGCGAAAGTTAAAGGGTAAAAAGAATTTTTGCGAACTCCTGACTTGTGGCAAAACCCAACGAATCAACTACATTGTCATGACACTTCAGGTAGACTTCATTTTAAACACAAAATAATTCTTTGTCTTTCTCTTAAACGTTGATTTTACTAATTGTAAAGCTTAAAATTTAGTTCTAAATGTATTAACAGAAAACTAATCAAATAGTTTTTGTAGGTTTTTGTGAATTTAGGCTGATTTTGATTGATTTTTAGTGCATTTCATTATCCTAGTCTTTTCTTGTTTAATTGGCATTTGTTTGACATAGAATTGTTAAGAAGAAGGGGCAATCGACAAATTAACTGCATACAAAAAAAATTTTACCAAAAGGTGTGTATGTCATAGCAACTAGGAACCCAAACTAACAGCAAGCAGTTCGTATGACTATGAAGTCCTTACAGGGAATTGAATGTCCGGCTAAA